AAAATTCAGTGATTTAATAAATTAAGTTAGAGCTATTAAATTTTTAAGCATTCTGTCTAGAGAAGTCAAGAGCGAATGTAATAGTAATATAATTATTACCCTCATCTAATTATTATTTATGGTTTGGAACCCTAAAGCGTTCCCCAGAATATTCTCATACCCACGCACAGCAGAAATGGCCATTTTTTACAATATCTCCCTCCCGATGCTTCACCCTTTGGACAAGGGCGAACGAACGAATTTACACATCTCCCACGGGCGCGCACGCACGGTAAAGCCAGGAGGGGGCGAATTTAATAAATTACGGTCCGGCGAATAAAACGAAAAAGAGAACACGGCTTGTTTTTCATTTACCGACGCGTCATTAACTTTTCGCCTACGTTTGTCGCTCGGGCGCACACATATTTTCCTATGGTTCGCGACATGGTCGCAATAACCCGCAGATCCGTGGACGTCGGTGGGCGAAATTAAACATAAAATCGAGCGCGGCCGCCTTTGTGACTCGCGAGTACCTCGAAAAAACGTATCCTGTCCGACAGGGGAGGATATCCTATGAAACCGAGTTTTTACCGTGGAGTGGTTTGCAGCTCCTCTTTTTCTCGTCTTTCTTTTCCGAATATAAGTTCCACGCTGGAAATGTTATAATCAGGATCAAAGGAGGAATCAACCCTTTCGTTAGCCTTCTTTGCAAGCCTTTTACAATTTTTATACTCTACTGCTCACATTTTTGTCGAAGAAGGTGACTCTCTCACATATGTTTTAATTTTCTTTGTATCTCTTATAATGTAGACTCGACATAACATCTAGAGTAACACGTAAAGTAACATCTGGAGTAACATTTAGTTTATATAATGTCAGATTACCGAATAGTGAAATATTTCTGGGAGCGTAACGATTCTCGGAATCGCAAGATGCACGCGTTATCGCGGTCGTTAAATCAGGGAGCATTTTCGCTATCGATTACTCGTGATTACTAGGAGGTAGAGAAAATTGCGCGGGAGTAGAAAGGACTGCGAAATAGGGAACAAAGGACAAGATTATTGTATTACTATTAGCTCAGCGAGTCAACCTATTGTTGGACTGAAACGAGATTGAAAACGAGCCTCTTTGTTAACTCTGTCGAGCGCGGTACTGGATAATGAAAATTCGAAACAGTGAACAGCAACTAAAATTTCAGCGAAACTTTTCCTCTGTCGTGTAATTCGATGTTGTATTATCGTCGTTGATTGACTATTGAAGCGGTACGGGAACATTTATTAGCGCTGATTAATTACTAGTTCCAAGGGTGAACCCGTTACAAAGGGAATTAATTCAGACTCGGCCCTCTGGTTTGTCTGTTTGTTGTATGGTTGAACAGATACTTTCGATACAAATTACTTGAATTTAGTCTCTCGGCGATGCGTGCACATTGTAATTAGAGCAGGTGGTTAATAGAGCGTTGATATTACAACCCTTCGATGACGGCGTTGAGATAACAGTGGCTCGAAATTACAGCGCGTTGCGATAACTGTCGGCGTAACGCAGAAATTATGGTGCGTTGAGATAATAATGTATGGGAGTTTTAACGCGTTGAGATAATAGAGCGTTGAAATTACGGCGCGTCGAGGCAACAGCGCGTCAAATTTACAACGCGTTTTAATTACGCTGCGTTGAGGTAACAGCGCTGCAATTCCAGTGCGTTGAGGTAACAGCGCTGCAATTCTGGTGCGTTGAGATAACAGTGTATGGAGGTATCAACGCGTTGAGAGAGTAGAGCGTTGAAATTACAGCGCGTCGAGGCGACGGCGCTGAAATTATGGTGCGTTGAGATAACAGCGTATCGAGATATCAATGCGTTGAGACAACAGAGCGTTAAAATTACAGCGCATCGAGACAAAAGCGTGTTGAAATTAAAGCGCATCGAGATAGCAGCGCGTTGAAATTACAGCGCATCGAGACATCAGCGCGTAAAAATTACAGCGCATCGAGACAACAAAGCGTTGAAATTACAGCGCATCGAGGAAACCACGCGTCAAATTTACACCGCGTTATAACAACTTTGCGTCGAAATTACAGCGCATGGAGACATCAGCGCGTCGAAATTCCAACGCATCGAGATAGCAACGCGTTGGAATTACAGCGCATCGAGACAGCAGAACGTTGAAATTACAGCGCATCGAGATAGCAGCGCGTTGAAATTACAGCGCATCGAAACATCAGCGCGTTGAAATTACAGCGCATCGAAACATCAGCGCGTTGAAATTACAGCGCATCGAAACATCAGCGCGTTGAAATTACAGCGCATCGAAACATCAGCGCGTTGAAATTACAGCGCATCGAAACATCAGCGCGTTGAAATTACAGCGCATCGAAACATCAGCGCGTTGAAATTACAGCGCATCGAAACATCAGCGCGTTGAAATTACAGCGCATCGAAACATCAGCGCGTTGAAATTACAGCGCATCGAAACATCAGCGCGTTGAAATTACAGCGCATCGAAACATCAGCGCGTTGAAATTACAGCGCATCGAAACATCAGCGCGTTGAAATTACAGCGCATCGAAACATCAGCGCGTTGAAATTACAGCGCATCGAAACATCAGCGCGTTGAAATTACAGCGCATCGAAACATCAGCGCGTTGAAATTACAGCGCATCGAAACATCAGCGCGTTGAAATTACAGCGCATCGAAACATCAGCGCGTAAAAATTACAGCGCATCGAGACAACAAAGCGTTGAAATTACAGCGCATCGAGGAAACCACGCGTCAAATTTACACCGCGTTATAACAACTTTGCGTCGACTAACAGCGTTGAAATTACAGCGCAGTGAAATAACAACGTATCGATGCCAAAGCGTTGAGATAACAGCGCTGCAATAATTACAGTCTTTCCTTTAAGCTTCCAAACAAACAGTATTTTCTGAACAGAAAGTATAATAAAGAGTATTCTTCAGAGAAGCAGTATCTTTCGAGTCGTTTGTTCGCGCGACAATCGACAAGACGTGCCCGCTCGTATCTACGGCATGTAAAATATTTATCGAATGTCATCGAGGGACGACAAACAAGGAAACGGAAATTGAAGAGGAAATGACGGTAGTCGGTACGAGACGAACGGAGGATGGATCAAAAGACACGTTCTGTAAACTTTTTCCCTCGGATGCCGGTCGACGGTCTCGTAAATTAGAGACCGAACGTGCAGTTTACCCTTGCAGAATTTTCGATCGGTCTGCGACCACGTTTACACGTATGACACGGTGTTGATGCGTCATCGCGGAATTTCTTATCCTTCTGGATATTATATGATATGAAATCATTTGGGAAGGTAATGGATTTGGAGATTTCACTATTTGAAATTTAAAATTTGAGGATTTGCAAAGAAAATACGAAGGGTTGATTATGAAAATTTAGAAATTTCATTCTGGAAAGTTTCGACAAGTGTTTCGGATTTTAGGAGATTATAAAAATTTGGGAATTTCACTCTGACACAAGTGTCCCAGATTTTAAAAGAGTTTGTTACAAATATGAGAATGCATCGAAAAGAGAAATAAGGGATGTTTATCAAAATTATCGGCCGAAGAAGTATCTTATCCGCGATTAAGGGTCGATAAACATGGCATTGTTCCCGGTAGTTCGTGACTGTCAGTCGAAAAGCGAAGTCATCGGACAATGATTTTCTATTTTCGTCGGTGGAAGAAGCATCGGGCACTTGGAGCGAGCCGAAGGACGCCTCGAGTGCTACTTCCGTAGGCAGTTTCTTGAAGAGGGAAACTAATTGGTTATAAAATGGCCTCCCACAGCTTGGCCTTGCAAAGTCGCGTGCTAAGCACCCTCGATTTCCAACCCCTTGGTTTCTCGCGAATCCGCACGACAGACTCGAACCACCATCTTCTTTCACCCTCTTTCTCGACGCGGCGTGCTAAGGACAGCTTTACGATACGGAACGCGATTTCTTCGCTGTTTCGCGGATTAAGAATTTCTCCTCTGTCCCCCATGAGGGATGAAGATCTTAGCCGGGGTTAAAAAGATTTCAGAACCTTGAATGTTATTATGTTCTGTCCCGACGATGCTTTTAGACTCGCTCGCGTGATTGTCAGATTTAGAACGGGATTGGATTATGGAAATTGAGTACGGTGATTATCTTGAAATCGTGTACTCGTGCGCAGATTATACACGCGTTTACTTTATGTCGACTGGATACGAGGGTGACTGCTTGCATTTTGATAATAATGTTCTGAAGGTTTGTTTCGCATGATCCGCTGGTTAGCGATCGCTAGTAGGTTACATGCGATAGCGAGTCAAGGCGTATTTAAAGTTAAATGACCACTATAAATTTTGCTGTAATTGAAAAACTCCTTAATGACGCTGTCAAATGTCACCTGGGGTTGGCTATATTTTTTGAGAATTAATTTTAAAGAACTTTATGTAAATTCAGGAAATAAAACAAAAACAGTTATGAGGCATTTAATATTTTCCTTCGAGAGACAATTAATGAAGCAACCACTTATGTTCATCAAACATCGCACACATGTGTGAAGAGACAGTGTCACACATGTCCTATATGTTGCTATCACACATGTCGTATGTGTTGCTATCACACATGTCGTATGTGTTGCTATCACACGTGTCGTATGTGTTACTATCACACATGTCGTATGTGTTGCTATCACACGTGTCGTATGTGTTGCTATCACACATGTCCTATGTGTTGCTATCACAGATGTATGTGTTGCTCTCACACATGTATGTGTTGCTCTCACACATGTATGTGTTGCTATCACACATGTATGTGTTGCTATCACACATGTCCTATGAGCGGCCCAAGTGTTAATAACATCGTCAATCTTCAATGTTGAAAATTTGTCTAACTGCTCCTTAACAATAATTGAATTATCAACATGAAAGTAATTAACGAGAAAATGAATTGATGGGAAGGGAGGACAGGGAAGCTCGTTAAAGCAAATCATCCCTTAAGGTCAATCGAATTGTTGAATTTAATCAGATCTCTTAACCTTCTTTCAGGTTCCTGGTCGCACGAAAAAATCAAATGCCGAGAACTTTGCTCGATCGCCGTTGGATTATCCGCCCCTGTCGTCCCACGGATCCGCTTTTAATGAAAGCTTTTCTCGGTAAGTCCTTTTACTATGCGATTTTCTTGCCGATCGTTATCGAAAAGGAATCGGAAATAGACAACTATCGGTACAGAAGTCTGTCTAAAAAATTAAGGTGCATTCGATGAAGTACATTCGAGGTGGTCGTTCAAATTAAGAACAACGAATAGCGTCAATGACAATAAAGTAGTCAAGGATTAAAAAATATGAACACGTAGATTACTATAAGAATTCCTAGTTCTTATAAAAAATATTAAGAACGTTGACAAGTATTCCGTCAACGAGTATCAGTGAGTTTAACACAAATTAGCTTTTGTATCGAAAACATTTATTCCTCTCAGTAATTCTGTCGCTAACAACCTTGGCATCCCTCGGATATAATTATATCACCCATCCATAATTATATCGTACTCCATAGCCATAAAGTCAGCTAATATAGCAAACGTAAAAATCGTAAATTATAGATATAATCAAACCGGGTCGAGAGAGGCAGTAGAAATGTTTAAAAGCACCCCTTAATTTTCCTTATAACGCATTCGTCCGCCACGGAATGCAATCCCTAAGTCCATATCTTGGCATTGCGGTGGTCATGAAAATATCTCGTCTCTGTTATAACCCATAGCGGAGTTTGCGAGCTGCGGAAACACGCACGGAATGTATTACGTTTCGAGCTTTTACCGTTGCGATCATCCGAACGAGAACACGAGATGAAATCGACGTTCCGTTGCGAACGGCAGAGTACTCGAAGAAAACCGAGGTACACGAACGGGAATTCTATCCATCGCGTAGGTGGACGTAGAATACGGGGTGAAGAGAGTTTTATTTGCTAAAGAAACGCTGATTTAACGAGGCCTCTCCTTTGGTTGCGAGCGTTAATGCGATTACGGTTTTATTGGAAGTACAATCAGTGACAAATCTTTCTTCGAAAGTTCGCTTTTGAGATGGGTTTGTAATTTGGGAAGGTTTTGAGATTTTGGGAATTTTATATTATGGGATCTGCGAGGAGTATAATTTATAGTGGGGGAGAAATTTGGAATAGAAATTAGGGATATGAGGAGACATGTGTGGAAGCACATATGGGAGACATATGTGGTTCAAGGATTTGTTTATATAGAAATTTCACGTGAATATTATTTGGAGACTTCTTTGGAGGTCTACAAGCATCAGACTAGAGATTTGGAGATGAGGAGAGTTGAGAATCTAGAAATTAGGGACATAGGGAGACATATGTGGATGCACATATGGGAGACATATGTGGCTCAAGGATTTGATTATACAGAAATTTCACGTGAATATTATTTGGAGACTTCTTTGGAGGTCTACGAGTATCAGACTTTAGAGATTTGGAGATTTGGCAATCTAAAAATTAGGGACATAGGGAGACATATGTGGATGCAAGCACATGTGGTTCAAGGATGATATAAAAATTTCACACTCATTCGAGAATTTCAACATTTTAAAATTTACGTGTATTAGACTCTACAGGATTCGGGAATTTGAGTATTTAGAAATGTAGGAATTTGCAAAGAAATTTAACTTTGCATTCGAGTGTACCTCCGCGATTCGTCGGCGTCTGATCAATGGCCGACTCGTATCACTTAATCCTGGTATAATGGCCATAGAGCGGAATGTTCCGCGAACTCGCATTATGTAAAATAACCAACGGTGGCTAATTTGCGAGTACGTTGTCGGGTTGATCGGCTCGAGCTTGCATGCTTTATCATCTCGCTCGTACAGAGGATTAGATTAATTCTAGTGCAAATCAAAAAATTCTGCTAATAACTATGAACAATTGTATTTACTAGAATGTAATTGTAATTACTAGAATGACTTATATTATATTTTCTAAACAATCATATAGATATTATTACTTAAACTAATATACAAATATTGTACACTATGTACTTATTACACTATGTAATTATAAATAACACGAGTGAATTTAAACCCTTGATAAACACCCGCGAAATAAAACTTAAAACGCTTGAATCCCGTCGAGGGTTGATTTTGTTGATCGAATTAATTGATACGGTAGCCAGGTAGCATAAATTATGCGAAGCGTTACGTACGCGTCGACAGCAATGACAAGCGATTCGTTACCGTCACGATAATACCGTGCGCCGGGGAAACACACGGAGCGACGAGAGAGCGAAACGAAGGATCCGGCCAAGGAAATAGAGAAACAGGAAGCAGCGAGAAATCCGCGCGGATCGGACGAGGAAAGGTAGAGGATCGCGAGCGACTAGGACAAATCGCTCGGAGATCCCTTTTCGGATTATCAGTACCTGGCCTGGATTCGTCTGAACACGTACGAACCGTTTCTACTGGCTCGTTCAGCCATTGTTTTCGCTCCTCGATTCGTAACGCTCGTTGTTATTCTAACACGGTAACGTGTCACCGTTTCCAGATTCAATGCTCATCCAATCAAACTTCTCTCGCTATTACAAAAACTGATTTTCGTATCTCATTTTTCCCGGATAATCTGCATAGATCATTTATTCATACGTTTAGTGGGTATGAATAATTGAGACGCTAAGCGCGACCTTTTTTTCTAATTCATTATTCATTTTTCTTTTGACATACATTTTATATTTAACTGTGGTCTCTTGTAAAAATTATCTGAATCTCTTCATTTTTATTTTAAATTGTGCTCTGGTTTAATATTTAACTCATTGATATTGCTTCTTGGTTGAATATTTAATACATTTCAATTTGACGTCCAATTATAATTTTTAGTCAAGGACCATTTACAAAATCGTTACAAAATTTTTTAATGATTTTAATACTATCTTCTGACTAACTAGTTAGACTAGTTACTTCTGACTAATGCACCTGACAAAATAATTCTACAATGAGTTAATGTTTCTCCGTTTGTGTCCTCCGTCATAAACAAAATTTAAAAGGCGAAGTATCTGAATAAATATGAAAGTTTGAACACGGTAGTCGAAATGATCGGCCCAGTTTCTGGATCCGCGGATAATCCGGGGCTCAAGGGTGAAACGAATGAAAACTTTGTTGGCCGCAGCCTAAATGTCTTGATCCCGCTTACAGGGGAAGTTCCGCGTCGCGCCGTCGCCATTCCTGTTCGGCTTCCCGCCATGCGAAACTTTTTGACAGGATTTCGCCGAGATAAAGCGATTCGCGACACGGTCTTTTCGTGGCCTTTCATGGGGGTTAACCCACCCACGTTTCCGGCAAATTTTTCACGGGACTTGGTTTTCATTGAGACCGGAAGTCCTTTGCTTCGCTAGTAACACCACGGACTTTCTTAGAGGAATCGAGATGCCCTTAAACGATAGCTTTTGTGTTAAAACTTCTTGCTACGGTTTTTACACTTCTTTTCGTACTGCAGGTATGATCTATTTTACTCGTGTTTTTATTTTAATGAGGTTGACTCATGATGTACTTGTTCTTCAGCTATAATCAATTTTGTTCATGTTTTAGTTTTAATGAGGTTGATTCATGATGTACTTGTACTTCAGTTATAATCAATTTTACTCATGTTTTAATTTTAATGAGGTTGATTCATGATGTACTTGTACTTTAGTTATAATCAATTTTACTCATGTTTTAATTTTAATGAGGTTGACTCATGATGTACTTGTACTTTAGTTATAATCAATTTTACTCATGTTTTAATTTTAATGAGGTTGACTCATGATGTACTTGTACTTTAGTTATAATCAATTTTACTCATGTTTTAATTTTAATGTGGTTGACTCATGATTATACTTCATACTTCAGCTACAATCAATTTTACTCATGTTTTAATTTTAATATGGTTGACTCATGATATACTTAATACTTCAGCTACAATCAATTTTACTCATGTTTTAATTTCAATATGATTGACTCATGATTATACTTCATACTTCAGCTACAATCAATTTTACTCATGTTTTAATTTTAATGTGGTTGATTCATGATTATACTTCATACTTCAGCTGTAATCAATTTTACTCATGTTTTAATTTTAATGTGGTTGATTCGTGATTATACTTCATACTTCAGCTACAATCAATTTTACTCATGTTTCCCATATGTTTGAATTTAAAGTTCCAGTCCAATTATTGCCACACTCAATGATTGATATAAAATGTACATAACATTTCAACCTTCCTTGTCTGTTTTAAACAGCTACAGCTGTGATTAGTACGTTCTGACGCACCTGATAAGTCAATCATAATACAAGAGGTTGAAGAGCAATACCAGATAGGAAATAGAAGTTTGAATTTTTAAATTGAATTACCTTTATGAACCACCCATATAGAAAATCATATGAATTTTGTTAACAAAAGTAGCTTGAAGACAAAGTAACAATAAATAAAAATATTTGTACCCGATTAATAGAAAATTTCTTTGTGAACCACCCATATAGAAAATCATATGAATTTCGTTGACAAAAGTAACTTAAAAACAAAGTAACAATAAATAAAAATGTTTATATCCGATTAATAGAAAATTTCTTTGTGAACCACCCATATAGAAAATCATATGAATTTCGTTGACAAAAGTAGCTTGAAGACAAAGTAACAATAAATAAAAATGTTTATATCCGATTAATAGAAAATTTCTTTGAGAACGCGTGAATGGAAAGCGAAAAGGATCGAACAGAGGCGACTGGAGAACATTACTTCCGGTAGGGGAGCGCGTTCGCGCGCAATTACGGAAACGCACGTAGGAGTAACGGCATGCACGCAATCACGGTCCGCCTATTGCCGTTTGCCCATTGACAAATATTGACATTCGTGCAACGTCCCGCGTTAGGACCGGCTATCTCGAGTCAATTGGGTTAATTGAATTGCGACAGGGCGCGAACAGAGCTGAAAACGCGATCGAGACAATCCGCAAATTGTCGCGCGAGACGTTCGGAGTTTTAAGAAATCGTTTCTTCTATTTAACTCGTCGAAAAAATAAAACTGTTCCACTTGCGAATCGACGCGGAACGATTCCCAGATGCAAAAAGATCGACGCGTCGCACGGATCGTGAATTCAATTTAATCAACCGTTAATGTAAT